AAAAATGCTTAGAAAACCTGTATTTTTATGAAAGTGAAAGTTGATATAGGACTTGTAAATATTCATATATATATTGTGCATATATTATATGTATATAATAAAGTATGAGAGAGCTGTAAACAAGAGATAAAGATATTTTAACAACGTTTAATGAAAAATCATCTATATGATAGAAAACGTCAAAAATCGTGTTAAGTGTATATATATTGAGCTTAGATATCATCATACAATATATGTAAGTAAACTAAACAAGTACCTAGGTACATCCACGTAGATGAACTTGAATCTTTAACGCTGTGTTGAAATACCTGAAAAGAGAACATAAACCACAAACACTAGAAAACTTATTAGTAATAAATTGTTTGTCAAATCATCATCAAAACTATAGGGTCAACACTTATAAGTTAAACTAAGGCTACGAATTATAACCCAATAGCATGAGAATGCCAAAATGCTTGCATAACACATAGTTCCTTGAAACAGAATGCACCTAACTTTGCCATAGACTGCCAGCCAATCACAAACGCCCAAAAAAAGCCACATCACAAATGCCCACAACAGGCCATATAAAGGTGCATTCTAACCATATGGCAGACACAAAGATATCACTCCATAGTGGACTTTCTGAGGATTTTGAAAACATCAAGAATCGCTTGTCCAATGGCTTGATTTTGGAAAAACATCTCTTGTCAAATTATTTGATTTCAAACAACGTCACCTATCAAATTGGTAAATTTCAAAACTCATTAGTTGTCACATTACTTGATCTCGAAAGCACATTGCTTGTTACAAAGTAATACTGGTACAAATTTATTCACTTGTGAAAATTCAAACACTTCCAAATTAAGTGAACATGAGTAAACTCATCATATCATTTATAATGATTCAACAAATTCACTTTATTCACTTTTATTCCAAATATCAAATCACGAAAAATCTATTGAACTCGTTAACCCATTGAAACACAATTAAGTCACTTCTTTCTTTGACAACTTTCAAATAAATCGATATTCACAGTCATTTGAGATCGCGTGAGAATCAAGATCACTTATCACATTTATATAAAATCAAATTTATTTTTAATATCTCATAAGAAGTCAAAATTATATTATGAGTTAGGCCGCGACAGAATCGATCAAATCGTATATCATTTTCTATACATAAGAAAAATAGAATAATTATTTTTCAAACAAAAGATCAATCCATTATAATACACTTGGAATTTTATGTTATAAAACAAATACTAGTAAGATATGAACTCACCACTAATAAGTAGATATGAACTCACCACTAATAAGTACTGCTTCCTCAAAATATTACTCATCCTGAGATCAACCCGATCTTATAATATAAATATATAAAACTAATATTAATTTAGGACAATTACATATTATAAGATAATCATTTCAAAATTTAGATCTAATCAAATTCAAGTATAATTAATTAACAATTAATATCCATAAGTAGGGTACACATAGGATCTTTATTAATTTTAGCAATTTACCATAATTCCTACAATACCATTGTAATAGTTCTGGACATATTAACAACATGAGATAGTTTCTGGGAGTTTGCCAATAATTACTCAAGCTTAATTCCTAACTAAGTTTGAGTTTTCTGGGTCTGGTTGCAATTTACTAAACAACGGGGTTTACATGAATATTTATATTTCTTTTTATCTTTTTGGTCTAGATACAAACTAATAAACTTTCAGGGTTCCCAAAGAAATTTGGTTCTTTTAATTTAATTCCCCTTTTGCCTCTCTCTCCTTTATCTCCTTCTTCCTCTGTTTCCCCTCTTTTATTTTTCTTCCGTTCTTTTTTTCTGCAACTACTCGGGCGCAGGCCGCCTCATGCTCCATCATTGGAGTGGCCTCTCAAGGGTGAGGACTCCCCGTCGATGAGGGGTCAGCGATGAAACCCTCGCCGACGACTATGTTAGTGTTCTTCTTTTTTCTTTTTATTCTTCCATCTCTCAGTAACTGATCTCAGTTCCAAATTTATACCCAATCTATTTCTTAAGAAATCAAGGAAAACAAAAGAGGAGAATTATACCTTTGATTGAATTTGATTTAGGGTGAGATCCCTTCTTTTTCCCTCCCTTTTCATTTCCACTATCTTCTTCCTCTTCTACTTTTTTTTCCCTCTAATTTCCCCCCCTTTCCTCCTCTTTTATGCTATTGTGAGGTGGTGAAAAATCACTGACATGGTGAGGCGATGAGGAACAGAGAGATGTTCTTTTTTCCTGTTTATTTGGGGATATTACAGTGATGATTGTTATGACCTTAATGATTTTCGATTGATTCGATGCATGTTAAGCAAGCCGGTTGCATTTTGGTTCTTCATTTGAACTTTGTTAAGCAAATATCAAGTCAATATATCCATCACCTAGATGGTTAAGTGTGCCCTACAGTATTAGCACGTTTCAGTTCATATTTATCACGTTTGAAAATTATAATTAGGCATAAGGGTTATTATGCCTATGAATTTGAGCTTACTCAAAACGTGAATATGAATTTGAGCTTGAGATTTTGAGAGCAAAATGAGGGAATGTTCAAAATACTGTGATACCTCATGATTTAGTCCTACTTCAGATATTGACTGAGTGATTAAATGGTTTATAATGTAAGTCTAAGGAGTAAAATGTAACATTAACTAGTCAATTTTGCACTTCATGGATCCCACAACTTGCATCGTGCCAACAATTTGGCTTCTCTATTAGTTTTTCAGTTAAATTTGTAAATCATCTCTAGGTTAATTATTAGTTGAACATTGTCAATTTTTAAATAAACCTATTGGTTATTCTTGAGAGAAAAAAACATTAGATAAGAGGAGAGTTTTTTTAAAAAGACACTTTTTAAAAATAATTAGCAAAAATGATCTTTTGCTAAATAATTAGCAAAATCGACCTTTTAAAAAGATCTATTGGTTTTTTAATTATTTAGCAAAAAGATCATTTTTGCTAATTATGTTTTTAAAATGAACTTTTTAAAAAAATTCTCCTAGATAAGATGATAAACGGATTAAAATGATTTTTAACCATTATATAGTAGAAAACGAAAGATGTAGGTTTGTGATTTTAGTTTGCGAATTTTGCTTGTAAACCCATTAAAAGAAATGAGATGCTAAACTTCACAAAAGGTAAGAATAAAGGTTAGAATCGAGAGAGTATTCGCCACAAATCCAATCTCAGTTTACTAGGAGGACCAAATTTCAAGTGCCTTCATGGTCTGAGGGACATATAATATAAGCAATTTCAAGGATGTCAGCGATTAGTATCAAATTATGGAAGAGGCGAGGGACGAATATGTAAAAAACCCTTCACCTTGGACTGCGCTACCCCAGACGAGTGCTCGGCCCCACGCGTAGTCAAAACGAGTCAGGGACCGGACCAGTTGTCCTCCGCTTCGTGTTCCTCCCAAAGACGCCCCCGTCTCGGTCTCTCACTCTCGGCAGACGACGCCCAGCGTTGGCGATTTTCGAGGTCCAATTCTCTCTCCCTTCTCTCCCCTTTGATCTTCTCAGACTCTCAATCTTGGTTAGGGTTTTTGTTCTCTTACGCTTCTCTACGATTCGGGCTTTTCTTTCTCCCAATTTTTCTTAAATGTTTAATGAATACTTGGTATTTTGCTGTGAGGGTTTTCGCTCAAGCAGATACACATTGGGAAAAAAAGGGTTCCTTTATGATATTATGTCAGCCAGCTCGTCACACTGAAATGAGAGCATTGTAATTTTTCGTCCAAGTTGACCCAGATTGCTATAGATTGAGTTAATTGTGAAGGGATTAGTGTATATTTCTGGGTTTAATCTAAGTTATTTTGATCCACGTTCTAATATATTACATTTCTCTGAAATTTGTTCTGCATTAGTTTCCCTCTATATCACTGTACTAGTTGTTACCCGTGCGATGCATGGGGTTTCAATTAATATTCTTGCATGTATAATAGAATTTTGGGGAAGGAAAGAAGACGAAAAGTATGACTTCCTGAAAAGTGAGAATAAAATCAATGATTTATAGGGAAATTTGAAAAAAGACAAAGAATAGAAATTCCCAAGATGTGGAGGACAGTGGATTAACATGAAATGGTGCAAATAAAGATAATTAGTTATTAAATTTTAGAGCTCTTAGAATGTGCCAAGTGACATAAACATGCAACCAGATTTTTGCTTTATTAGTATAGTATTGGTTGATTGATGCCTGACCAATAGCTTAATTCAATAGACTATTTTGAAAATTTCACGAGGTGTTGGTGCATGTAATAAGTAACAGTTGAATCATATACATACTTTGAATTTGGTCATGTGTCTGTCAGATGTGATATCTAAGAGGATGCAGTTAAATTTTGATGCTCCCTGTGAAGTTTCCAGCTGATAGGATTTGAGATCAGTGTCTAGGACTCTATTTTTTTATTTGTAACTATTTCTTTGGAAATAAATTCTGAATTTCATTGGTACAAGATATAGAATGAGCTTGCTTGAAGTTTTTATAAGTGCTGGCATTGTTTGGCACCGTACAACTATCGTGATTTGTTGTGCTTATTTATTTTGGTTTATTCCATTTGCAGATATCATTATTGTTTTCGCCTGAAGAAGTTAACTTAGCTGATTAATGGCTACTGCTAGCCTAAATGTTTAGCCTACACTGCGAAGCAGATGCGATTCCTTGTGTTATGTAGCTAATAGTCCTCCTTCACACAATTCTCTATAGCTTAAGTAGAAAGAGCATAATAATGCAATAGACCTTCAGATGGATAGTCTTTTGCTATGAAAACCTGACTTGAATTCCTCGCAAGTTCTAAAAACCGTCTTTTTGTCAAGGAACAGCACGGGTAAAACTAGACACGGACATCGACGGTGCATCCAAACACACTGACGGTCTTCTGCCCATTGACTGAACGTGATTTTGCTTATAAATGATACTATTGCCTGCTGAAAACAAGAATTAGTTTTCATTCTGCAATTTAATGTAGTCTTTTACGCCCTTCATTTCCTTATAGGTTAAAACAAAAGATGATGATGTTGGCGCTTCTTCAGGTCATGAATTTTTGTGTAGAAATGTTGGGTCCTCAAGTTTAAGACCATCTTCTTGTCCTGCAATAGTGAAAGAGGTTTTACTTTCTCTTCTCTATGCTTACTATTTGGTTATTCTTTCCCAGAAGTGGAACTTTGAGCTATGGCCATTGCTCCAGAAAAAAGAAGGAACGAAGAACATAAAGTTACAATGTTATAGTGGTGAAATTTAATTATTAAAAGTCTTTTGCAACTTCCTTGACTTCACTTGCTATGTTCATCTTCTCTCATTGATCAGTACAGGGTTTTATAAACCAAACACTTCTTCATCACTATTGGCATTTTGTATTGAACAGCTTAGTTCTGTAAATAATTACTCCCAGAGTCACCTGTTATTCATCTTAACTGTTTTTAGAAGCTCTAGTGAGGAGCGACTCTGAGGTAAAATGCTAGTTAAGCTTGGTTATTATGACAGAGAAAGGCAACTCTTTCCTTTTCATTTGAAATCATATAAAGTTTCTGAAGAGTTTCAATTGACCTTTTACCTACTAATAGTTGACAAAGTGTCTATTTTCTTTTTATCTCTACACAGCTACTTATTTCTTTCTATACTATACTATAGGAAAATCAACCAAGCTCATCTTTCGGTGATTTAAAATCATATTTTGTTGGAATGGGATTTTCATCGGTTCTTGTTGACAAAGTGATCGAGGAAAATGGTAAGCTACACCAAAAACAATATGTTCTGCTTTTTAAGACACATTTGTGTGCTCAAACTTCTTGCTACCAGTAATTAATCAGCTCATTTTGTTTTGGAGATATTTTAAACAATTTAATTACTTCTGTTCTATCCAGGTCCTAGCGATGTAAACTTGCTATTGGAGGCTCTCATTAACTCTTCTGTAAGTTTTTGTTGTATCCATAAAACAAAATTAGGCATCCAACTTAAGAAATGAAAAATATGGTCAACTGCTCTGCTTCAGTTCCAATTTTCTAACAATGTTTTCCAAATGAGTTTATTCAATTTCAAGCACTCATATCAGATTCAAACTTCAACATAGTGCTTTTTTACCCAAACTAGTTCCTTTTTCTCTAAAAAAATTGATAAATCTTTTGCTATATGTTTTTTAATTGTCCAAATGACCAATAAATGAAACATGACCCTTATGTGGTTCCATTTATCCCATCAGTCAGTAAAATCTTTGTATTAACACATGTACATTCCAATATTCACCTCTAGAAAGTAGATCTTGCTCTCTAAAAAGGTGTCTGTAGTATCTTTACCTTTGATCACATATAAAAAGTGAAGAATTCAGATGTGCCACTCAAAATTATGTTTTGATCACAGCTTACGGTGAAACATTTTTTCTTAAATGATCCATTCATTTGTAATTAACTACATGGTATTGTTTGTGGCCTCATTATGGTAGACATCATCCTTGTCCCTTGGTAAATATGATAGGTCTACGCTGTTGTTCATAAACGAACTTCTGTATTGTCGTTATTGGACTATATTTAGAAAGATAATCAATTCCAAACTAAAAGAGCAGATTACAATAAAAAAGTTGGGTTCTTGTATAATTGCTTTTTTAGCCCTAAACCGAATCCTGACATATGGATTCTGAAGGTTTTCTTGTCTCCTGTGATTTCATATCTGCATATCTATTTGTGTGGCTGATAACTTACGGTTTATTCTATCAACTAGTTATCTCGGGTTTCTGGAAATTCTCACTATTCCTTTAAAGTGTTGGTGATTTATTTTGGAGAGCACTGAATGTAAAGTTCATTCAGTCTGGAAGAATTATTGTTTGATCTTTAACATGGACATGATAGTCTTATAGAAAAAGGCTTTGGTGGGAAGGTATAGGTATTACTAGTAAATTTAGGATAAGGAATAAGCAAAATTGGACCATGCTATGCCACGACATTAGATTGGAAAAAAGTTACAAAAATAATAATTTAACAATTTGGTTTAAAAATATATCGTACACCTAACCACTTATTGAAAATTATTGCAAATTACACCATATACCAACTTGCACCTTATACCAAATTGCTGAACTACATAGTGAGTTTAAAATTAGTTTTATTAAATATTATAGGTCTAAGATTGATTTTGGAAATGGTTGTGTTAAAAACAAACTTAATGGAAGTAAACTTTGGTTTTTATAGACAAATAAATCTTTTTAAAAGTTGACTAGTTTAAAAAGATATGTTGGTAAAACTTTGAGTTTATAGGCAAAAAATTCATTTATAGTTTGCGATGATGCGACTTCAGTGTGAAAAATACCAATAAAATAACAGTTTAAACATCTTGTTTAAAATACACCACATGCCTAATCACTTAGAACTAATAGCATGTCATGCAATATAGCTACACGGTATACCAAAATGTTGAAATACAAATGATTTATAAAATAATTTTGTGGAGCGTTTTAAGTCTAAAAGTGATTTTGGAAGTGAATGGTTTTAAAAATAAATGGGGGTAAAACTTTGTGGTTACTAGGAAAAACTCTTATAGGACGTGGATGGGTTTAAAAATCGACTGGGATAAAAGTTTGGCTTCATGGGCAAAAAACCCTTTTAGGAAGTGGACTGGTTTAAAAATAAATAGGGATGAAGCCTTTGAGTTTACGAGCAAAAGACTTTTTGAATGTGGATGAGTTCAAAAATAAATTGGGGGTAACACTTTGGGTTTATTGCTAATAAACCCTACTAAAACTTGGAAAGTGGATGGGTCTAAAAATTAATAGGGGGAAGGGTTTTGGTTTATAGGGAAAAAACCCATCTTTGGGAGTGGGTTGGTTTAAACTAATGGGGGTAAAGCTTTGGGTTTAAAAGAATATGAATAAAACTTTTGGTTTATAGGCAAGACTCTTTACATGTGATGGGCTTAAAAACAATTTTGGGTAAAACTTTGGGTTTATAGATTAAAAAACCTCTAGTAGAACATTGAAAAGTGGGTGGGTTTAAAAATTAATGGAGGTAAAGCTTTGGGTTAAGCTTTATAGGCAAAAAACTGAACTATGAAAGTGGGTGGGTCTTTAATGGGGGTAAAGCTCGGGGTCTAATGTAAAAAAACTAAAAACTTTACACATACATACATACCATACATATATATGTGAGTGTGTGCGCGCGTATGAGTGTGTATGTGTGCGCGTTTGCGTGTGCGTGTTGGCAAAGCCAATCAAACCCGATAAGTGGGGTGTCTCATCATAGTGTCATTCTATTGGGGCACTTTGTCTTTTAGCAAAAATTCTTATAAATTTAAATATAATAAATTTGATGGGATGAACTGTAGCTAAGCACGGGTCATTTCCCACTAACTTTAGTATAGAGTCATAGTATAATAGAACTTGGGTTAATGTTAATTTGAGGATAATTTTTTTTTTTTTTGGTTTTACCTCAAGTTCTGAAGTTTGTTTTGGCTTGAACCAGTCTAGATCAAGTTCAATTGAGATTAACTATGGAAACTTTAGTCCTATATGCACTTTGCTTTGCTAATTATTTGCAACTTTTATTATCATGTTAGTCATTCTCTATGGCATCAATAAAACATGCACACAACATGCTTCACACGAATTAGCTAATACGAAAATCTAATGGTGCTGAGAACATGATATATATACATTCAGAGGCACCGCAGTATCTCTTTTCCTGTTTTCCTTTATATTTTCTCATACCATAAAAATTTCAATGGGGAGTGGCTTTTAGATCCTTCTTTTCTTTTACTTCACTATTTCTGAAAATCTTGAAATAATGCTATCAGATTATTTATAAGATGACGAGAAGGCATTACTATTTGTGTATTTCTCATTTCCTTCTCTTTCATATTTGCATGTAAAAGTTTTTAATTTTTTTGGGCTAATTTTTCAAGGATAATTAGTTCATTGGGAGATTTTATTTTTTGGAATAAAACTACTTGCAGAAATCAAGCCCCGAGGAATCAGATTCCTGGGAAGATTTTGAGAAGGAAGAAGTGAAGTCACCCGCTGAGTTCACCTCAGACTGTAAACAGGAAATAGAGGTATTTCTTCTCACCTTCTACATATATGATTAGGAACTTACCAGGAGCTTGGGAAGCTGCTTGTATCATTTAAGGCAACACTTAGCAATGCCCTAGCTGGTGATTTTCTTACTTTTACTATTATGCATGAAACACCTTGTCACGCCCTAGTCCCGAAATATGTACATGTAGGGCACACATGACTTGACCAATGATGCAACTATAGAGAGTGAACCCTCCCGCATAGCTACATTGATGCCTCTTATATCATCAATACTGTGGAAAGCAAGAAATAGTTCACTTTGGTTAAATAATGAAATCAGGAAACATATGGTTGAACATTTTAACTATCACTCACTCAAAAAACTATTACCTCAACTCTCAATCTATAAATTAGAAAATCTGAGACGCATAAACACTAAATCCTCACCTATCCTGACCATTTACCAAGCCACTCTAAATCTGGAGAAACAATTTGTGGATTGTCATAGGCAATCTTGCTAGTGTTCCAAAGGAATATAGGAAGCAAGGAAAATGTACGACCACAATGCGCATGTGATTGCAACAAAAGACGCTATAATAGAACTATAGAAGCGCAATGGAGATTAAAGTAGTAGGAAAAATCATGATGATGTGACAAATAAGATTATATATATATATAGTTGTCTATGCCTTTAAGCCCGAAGTTTTGTCCTGATTTATTTATAAACCCAGGTACTATCATCTGTACCTCTAAACCTCTAAACCCAAACAAGTTTGTGTATTTATCTTTGAACACAATTGGTATAATTCATGATCATAGTAGGTTGTATGCATACTTTTAGGGAGTGAAGAACCCAAAATACCCCTAGCGCATTCAAACCTTCTCACTCTTTTTTCCTCTTCTAAATATACACACCCAATAACATTTAGAATTTGTAGAAACACCTTGAACGTTTTGAAAATTACAAATAACCCTAAAATGCAAAATTTATTAAAAAAACCCTAAAAATTTCAACCCATCAAATAGTACACTAAAAACTTAGGAATTAAAAGCATGCCCCCTGAAAAATTTACAATTTTCAGAAAACACCCTGAAAGTTTCAACATTTGCAAAAACACCCTAAAAATTTGCAAAAATACCATAAAAGATAAAAAATTACAAACACTTGCAAAAAACACCTGCTTTTAAGTTTTGATCTTTTTAGGGTGTTTACAAAAGTTTTGAATTTTGATGGTGCTTTTTGCAATTTTTGAGAACTTCAGGTTTTTATGCAAATTCCAAAAATTTTAGGGGCTGTTAATGATTCCTAGTTTTGTACTGTACTTCTGAAAATTTTAGGGTGTTTTTAATAAATTTTGAATTTTTAGGGTGTTTTTTGCAATTCAAAACTTTAGGATGTTTTCTGCAAATTCCAAAACTTTTTAAAAGGTTGTTTCCTTTTACCTCATACTGAAGAATCTCTAAATGCAGAGAGAGAGAGAGAGAGAGAGAGAGAGAGGGAGAGAATGGAGGGAGAGAAAGGGGTAAAATGGGGTTTAAAAACAAATATACAAAGTTGTTTGGGTTTATAGGTACAAATAAAGCTACTCGTGTTACTATATAGTGATGTCTAATCTTGATATGTCAATGTAATAATATGTCTGGCACACTACACCAAGTAATTGCCATCTTTTATTTATGTTGTTTGTATTAGAGATGAACACCTTTCATGTATCCGAAGTTGTTTTCTATAAAAGCCAAAGTTTTAAATGTCAGCCGACGTGTCCGACATGTCGACCGACATATCGGTTTGAGGGCTTGAACGACACGACATGGGCGTTTTTAACTCGTATGTCGGTTTTCAGGGCCAAATTGGAAATATCGGGGCCATATCGTGCATATCAACCGGTTTTTCATCTTTGAAAAAAGGCCGATATGGCCATTTTTTTAGATCTATTTTTTTGTTATCGGGTTTGGGTTTAGTGATAAAAACTCAAATCCGTTTGACTCGTTCTCATGTTTATAAGGGTTTCTTATGAACCTGATAGAAAGAAAAGAGAAAAATTAGGGCTGTAGCGGACTTGGAAACTCATCACTCCTTTCGTGAATGACGACGCCCTTCCCCCACCTCCATCTCGGCCCCTCGTCGTCCATCTTCCCTTGTGCCTCGAAATTCAAACCCCAACCGAACTCGAGGACGGCAGTGTATCCCGTCGTCGGGATAAAGAGAAGAGGGTGGTCGATGACTCATCTGAAGGACCCCGAGCAGACAAAGAAGAAGAAGAAGAGCTCCGGCACCATCTCCCTGCGACGTCTCGTCACAGGGAGGCAGTCCCGTCGTCGGCACTGCCTCCCTGCGACGTTGGAATCCATCCATCGCCGCCGCCGCCTCTAGAATTTATAAAGTATGCTTATATTGAATTTAGGAATACTTAGATTACATTTAGGACATGATATTATACATATGCGCACCACCCGATATGGCAATCCGATATTTAGTCCATGTCCCCCGATATATCCCCGTTTTCCGCTATCCGACATGGATTTCTGCCGTCCGACATGAACCCGACATCTAACATTTAAAACCTTGATAAAAGCCCCTGGGGACATGATATGTTGATAACCATGAAAACTATATGGCACATGGACAGATTAATACATATATATCATGACGCACGTATAGGCTGCTTATATACACTTAAATCTTCATCCTAATTCTCCACATTTAAACCCCATGATCTCATTTTACTATTTGACAACGCATGAAATGTTTTACTCTAGCCACGAGCTTTTCAAGTGTTTTAACCGTCAACACCGAGTCATCATGCAATTTATCATGTATCAAGGTCAACCTTATCTAATTCAGATACTTGAATCCTTATGGAACGATATCCAGTAAACTATGAGACTAAACGTAGTCGAGAACATGTACTAATCAAGAACATGTACTCACCAATATAATGTTAGGGAGTGCCTACTGTGTAAGTTGTGATCAAGAAGTAAATAATCAAAGGAGCCTCATCTTGTGTACTCAATACTGAGTGGTACTCATGCTATGATGACACCTAAAATCATATTGTAACGGGGTTCTTATTCATACATGGTCTAACCTATCATGACGTCTCTAGGTGATCAGTCAAGGGTTCTATATTTACTATACATGTCAAACACAAATCAAACATCTATCAGGATAATGTATAATCTTGTCCTCAGACGGTAAGTAACAAGTGTGTTTCGGTCTTCTAACCAAATACAGCTATCTGTGCCTTAAGTGTAAAATATTCTAAAGAGCTAAAAAGTATTTGAATCCAAATATATTTTTGAAAAAGAGTTTGGTTTGGATAGGGTTCAAACTCAGGTTAGTCCAAAAAGGAATTTCAGTTCAAGTCTGGTTTTTGGTACGGTCAGGTCATCGAGCAAGGATTAGGTTCAGTCTTATGATTTGTCCGAACTAATGGTTTGGACAACAATTTTTGTTTAAAATTAAATTGGTTTGGACAACAATTTTTGTTTAAAATTAAATCGTGTACTTAATAAATATCTAGAAAAATTTGATCAAAAGAAATTTCAAATCAATTCCTTGCTTAGTTGAAAGTACTTTCCATTAGTAATTTTTTTATGAAAAACAATTTGGATAGATAAAGATATACTTTTCATAATGAAATAATATATTTTTATTAACACTTAAGTGGATCTTATGGACCACTCTTTTTATTTTTTATTTTTGTTTGTAAACTACCTTATAGCTTATTAACCTTGCAATTTTCAAAACATGGCCAATGTAATTTAACCTATCATAATAGTTAACAATGATAAAGGATATATAATTTGTTTTATCTATAGCAGGTCTTGATCTACGATTAGATCGTAAAATTGTGTTTTAGTTAAGGTACATTGACATGAAATCACGATCTCTTTCTAGCAAACAGTAACTCTTAACAAGAACTATTCTACTCACATACCTTTTAGCAAGCAACAATCACCATACAATTATAAAGCATGTGCTTTGACCCCTTTAAACTAGTAGGAATCAAGTACAATATTGGTATTAATTGATCTTGCTAGAAAAGAAGTTTGTGGTTCATAGATATAGGATCGTGAGAAAAGTAAATTGGATACATAATACTATGATTTGAACATATGCGCACTCATGATACTTCTTTTTCTATACCTCAGTAAAGAAAGCTTAGGGAAGGTGGAGACATGGGTGTAAAATCTAGGATTGATTGTTGAAAGCAAGGATCGACACCGGGATGGTGAGGGAGTTGTTGCTATTGACATCACACGAGAGACAAAAAGAGGGAGCATGATGCATGGGTGTAGTTATTGTAAAGGAGGGGATGATGATTTGTGTATAAGAAATTTGATTTTTATGAAATAAACCCCTGAATTGTTTATGATACATGTCAAGTCTGCTTTTCTGTGGCCTTTTTCAATTGAAAAGCGGCTAAGGTCCTAAAACACTTAAACAACCTCTTAAATGCCTGCTTTTTTCCACTTCTATGACATATTGAAACTCTCTGTGCGTGAGTCCTGGGAGGTGTCGAACCACTTACATAGAATTAAGTAAAAAATACTTTCATGTGGGCAGAAAGACAATGTCAGCTAAGAAAAGGAATAAGAACAGTCGTAAGTGTAGATCCAAAAGAAATAATATAGTTTTATTATAAAATAAGCCTATGACTGATATCAAAAAGTAAGATGTCTTGAAAAGTAGAAGACATTCACTCAAGAAGTCAAGATTGAAAAATGGTATAAGACATGTATGGGTCAAATATACAATGAGTATAGGCAAGGTACATCCAACAGTGGGCATTACACTACACACAAATGAGACATATAGGAATTACATAACTTGCAATAAAAATTTATTAACTACTAAAATAATTATTTTTGTAAATATTTATTTTGTTAAAACCCAATAGGCTGCAATGCTGCTTTGAGGGTATGAACCTTCACTTTTGTGCAAATTTTAGAGTTGCCGGCGAAAATAAATGATGATATGGTCCTAATTGCACTAAACTACAACCTACAAAAGAGAAGATCCATTTATTCATTC